ACACGGTTTTAACAATGAGTCCTTAAGTGACTGTGGAGGCCAGTTCTGGATCCACAGGTCCTTCCACAGTGGGGACATTGGTTTCCGGGCAGGAGTTGATCACGGTGTGGATTTGCCAAGCGTGCCTTCCTCTTAGCACGTTTCTCCCTTGCATCCTGAGTTTGAGTGTCTTCAAAGCCCATGACACCTTTGGTAATGGCTGTTCTCCAACTGGAGCGCTCGCAGGCAAGTGTTTCCCAATTGTTGGTGTTTATACTACATTTTTAATTTTTTTAGATTTGCCTTGAGAGAGTCTTCAAACCTCTTTTGTTGACCACCAGCATTACGCTTTCCATTTTGAAGTTCAGAATAGAGTAGTTGCTTTGGAAGACGATAATCAGGCATCCGCACAACATGACCAGTCCAATGAAGTTGATGTTAAAGAATCATTGCTTCAACACTGGTGATCTTTGCTTCTTCCAGTACACTGGCATTAGTTCGCCTGTCTTCCCTAGTGGTGTATAAAATTTGTTGGAGGTGGTGCTAAATAGTACACTCAACAATGGTTCCTCTTCCCTTTGCTCCCTCCACATCCCCAGAAGATTTTCAGTAAGAGATGCTACCAAGCAAGGACCCAGGAACACCATCCATGTTGAGCTGTGAGTGCCCAGGCACCCCCAAAACTTTCAGTGAGGGGGCTGGGCACACTCAATATTCCACAGCTGGGCCATCCCCCAGCTACAGCAGGCTCCATCGGGCCCTCCTACAGCCTCAGCAGGCCCTGCCAGGCCTTTCAGGGGGTGCGTCGGGGCTCCTCCCAGTATGTGATGTCACATGCGCTGCGTGTGACATCATGAACGCTCACCAGGCACCCACAATGTTGGGCGGACCCCGGCACGCCTGCAAGGACCTGTTTTTTCTTGCAGACAGAAAACTGACAGTGGAATCAAACCAGAATTCTGGGTTTCCTAAGGATTGCATCTCCATCAGACCCCCCAAGCCTTCTATTTTGAACTGCTAATAAATCTAAACTTCCCCCGGCTTCCAGGTCTTATTTCCCTGCTAACCATTCTCAAATGTTTGGGCTGGTGAGTCACCGGCTCCCTTCCAGTCGGTACTTGTTGCTGCTCATTTCCACCCAGGAATGGAACTAGAAATTTATACATGCCATCTCAGTTCCTAACATCAATCATTAAGCAACTGGCAGGCACCAAAAATGTAAGAGAGAATGGGAAATGGCAGCAGGTGAACATCACCGACACCCCTGTCCTCCGTCATGCCTCTGCTATTGGGTTTTAGAGTGTCTGCAAGTGACAAACTTGAACAGAGTATATAAAGTGCATTGGAGATATAGATATAGATATATTGCTACATGCCTCGGTTGCTATGGGTTACAGCAAACATCTTTCCAGATCCCCCAGCTGGGATAAACGGTTGCCGCCCATTCTCGTTTAGACAGAAAGTGGGTAATTACTGTCTTCAGCAGATGAACTCGCTTGAGGCTGCAGTCTGGAATCCACTTAAAAACGATGGCAGTTAAAATTTTGACTTTGCCAAGCTGACAGCGAGATCCAAAACCTTGGCATAAGTGGGGATCGCATTAACCGAAAGCAAAGGGGGTGGGAGGGAAATGTTGTCTAGTCCAGCTGTACTTAGGTCAGGTCAATCTGCACCACCAACTCTTTGGAAAGACGTGAGGGGAAGTCAATGAGCTTTGCATCTGGGTTCACAAATCACATGGCAGCTGACACAGGTTTGCCGCCAGGCATATTTGGGTGAAGGCAGCTCATTTGGGGTCACTGCTTCATGTAATTATGTGCTCGTGTGTGTGCTCGTGTGTGTGTCAGGTGTGGAGAACCATTGGCCCTTGAGATATTGCTGAACTGCAGTGTCCATCATCTCTGGCCACCAGTAACTTCTGGAGGGCCAAAGGACCCCAAAACTTGTTTTTAAGAGGTGTACACATAGGACTAAAAGTATCCCGGGCACACACTTAATGTGCAAAGCAGCCCCACAGCACAACAGAGGCTTAATGTCTGCAAAGCAGATACATCCAGTTCCCGCAGGGAGGACTAAATATGGATCACGCTCAAAAGAGAGAAGCAACTGCAGATTCCTCACACAAAAACAACCTTGGGGAGAAAACCCCACATTTTCCTGCAATCCTGATTTTTAAGAAGAAACCATGTCCCATTCCTTTCAGTGGAACTTATTTCTTAGGGATGTACTTGGGGTCTGATACTCGCCTCAGCTTATTCTACAGACAATACCATTTCTGTCAGGCTGAAGGGAACCCTGTGGCTTTTCAAAGATAATGACTTCCATTCATCAAAAAATGGTATCTAAGTGCCCTTAGGAATGGTAATGCAGAACCTTTGCCCTCTGGGTCGCAAGGTTGGCTGTGGCATCCGTTCGGTGGCCGCTTTTAGAAAATGAGCGTCTGTGTGCTTGAGTGTGTTGTTTCTTTAATAGATTTACAGTAGTGAACAAAGGGCAAGCCATACATTATGCCAAGAGATCTAATATTGATCTTCCAATTTTTATTTATATACTTACTTGTCTTTATTGAATGCAGCTTGAGGGCCCTGGTCATTTGATTGGGGAATCAGAGCAGGGGGTAGGAGTGTTGAGCCATTTCCTTAGGTGCTGTTTTCCTGATCTAAATTGCCCCCATCTCAAGCTGCTGTTTCTTCAGGGCGTGTGGGGTGAGATACTTAGAGAATCACAGAATTGTAGAGTCATCTAGTCCAACCCTCTGCAATACAGGGATCTCAGCTAAAGCATCCATGACAGATGGCCATCCAACCTCTGCTTAAAAACCTTCAAGGAAGAAGAGTCCAGAACCTCCTGAGGGAGTCCATTCCATTGTCCCTTACTACTTCTTTTCCTATCTCGGGCTGCAGCTCCCTCCTTGCAACATTTATTCTGTTATCACCAGGTTGGGCACCACTTTCCTTTTGGGTGAAGACAAAGTAGGTGTTGAACTGTTCCACCTTCTCTCTGTCATCCAATAGCATTTCTTTGTCTTCTCCAGAGGACCTGTCACTTGCTTGTTCTTCTTCTTGCTTTGAACATAACCGAAGAATACCTTTTTATTAATTTTAGCCTCTCTTGCAAGCCCAATCTCATTTATCCTATACAGAGCAAAGAGAGGAGATGGGTAGATGGTTAGCATATGTTCTAGTTTGTTGTAGTTAACCAATAGTTTCGACCCTTACTGGGGCAGAATCAGAATGTCCAGAACAGATGGTAAACCGTTTTCAGTCTGAAGGTCACATTCCTTTCTAGGCAACTTTCCAGGGGGCACATCCCAGGGATGGAGAGAACCTGGGGCAAAAATAGGGCAAGAAATCAGTGCAGTATATTAATACACTCATACACCCCACCCTGTCCTCAATTCAGGCAAGCCATTATCAGAGTTCGAGGGCACATGCCAGCCAGGTAAAAACACTCAAGAAGGATGTGAGGCAAGGTTAGTAAGGGTTGAGACACAAAATCCTGGAGGGTCACATCTGGGCCTCAGGGTTGAGTTTCCCCACTCCTACTTTGGAATAAGCATGGATTTTACTTCTAAAATAGAGGTTCCCCACTCTGCTCTAGAATAAGCATGGGTTTTTGTTATGTACTGAGTTGAATGGGATCAATGCAGCAGTCTGATTAGTCCTAGAACAATAGGATTCAGAATGCAGCAGTCTGATTGATCCTAGAACAACAGAATCCAGAATGCAGCATTCTGATTGGTCCACAGGAGCCACCCAATCCAGCTCCAGGTGGAAGTGAATCCGCAACCTGATTGGCCTACAGATGAATCCTGGAATTAGCCAATCACGTGGGGCCCATTGTGTAAATAATGTATATAAAACAGACATTCTGGGGGAACTTCCATTCCTCCTCACCACTATGAGCTGAATAAAGAGCATGAAATCCACTCTCGACTCTGAGTATATTTCAGTTTTGCTTTTACAGTTGAGGTCTTCCACCTCTGTTCTATAAGAAGAAGAATAAGCAGGAATCTTGCTTCTACGCTAAGCCAAGTTGGCCGCATTGTCTGACGTCTTTATCTGCTCTGGTGATGCCTTGTAGATACTTTTGTTCCTTCTTCTAAAGGCACTTTCTTTGATGCAGTTATGTCAACTATGGGATGTGTGTGTGTCCGTGTGTGTGTATTAACAATTTAAGATAGGTCCTGATTTGCAAAAACCGAACTGGGCTCCTTTGCAAGAGCTCCTCTGTGCCTGAAAGACGAGCTTTGCAAGCAGTTTGCTGAAAGTCAATTAAGTTAAGAACTCCCAGAGAGAGCCAAAGAATAATTTACTTCAATCCCCCCAGCAGCCTTGAAATATACAAGTGGACTTAACTGCTTGTAACACTATTTAAAAGAGTTTTCTATTGCAGCAGAGAGGGAGAGAGGGAGAGAGAGAGCGAGAGAGAGCACATTGAAAGCTGAAAACCATCCAATCTTTCAATTCTTCAGTATGGAAGTGAAATATACTCAGAGTCGCAAAGTGATTTCATGCTCTTTATTCAGCTCATAGTGGTGAGGAGGAATGAATGAATGTCCCCTCAAAGTATCTGCTTTATATACATTATTTACACAATGGGCTGCACATGATTGGCTAATTCCGGAATTCTACTGTAAGCCAATCAGGTTGTGGATTCACTTCTATCTGGAGCATGATTGGGTGGTTCCTGCCAACCAATCATACTGCTGCATTGTTCTAGGACCAATCAGACTGCTGCATTCTGAATCCTATTGTTCTAGGACCAATCAGACTGCTGCAGTTTGGATCCTATTCAACTCAGTACATAACAGGAAGGAAATCATATAATCATAGAACTGCAGAGTTGGAAGTGACCCTAAGGATCTTCTAGTCCAACGGTTCTCAGCCTGTGGGTCCCTAGATGTTGTTGGACTACAACTCCCATCACCCCTAGCTAGCAAGGCTAGAGCAACATCTGGGGACCCACTGGTTGAGAACCGCTGTTCTAGTCTAACCCCCTCCATTGCAGGAATAGGCAGCTGCCCCACACAGGGATCGAACCTGCAACCTTGGCATTATCAAGCACCACGCTCTAACCAACGGAGGCAACCATGTCTTCCCTCCTTTGCTTTGCACAGCATGTCTGCTTGTCCTTCACCAAGAAGAGAAATTGCACCACCGAATAAGAGGACAAGAGAGGACACGGGTTTGCATGAAAACGATACAGATGCAGATGCAGAAATAATTACTATAATTAGAAAGGCATCTCATGATACATCTTGGAAGACAGGGCTATCATTGGGCTACTAGCCACGATGACTCTGCTCTGCTTCCAGAGTATGCTTCTCATGGCAGGGCTGTAGCAACCCACCGTTTCAAAATAAATAAACAATAACAACTGCCCAAGCAGTTTTCGGTGCCTTCAAGAGGACAGTTTATTATTAATACTGATCTTATCTGTCTTTCTTCTTAAAAGTAGTTTGAAAGTTTGAGCTCCTTTGCTTTTGGTCACCTTCCTGGAAATTAGAAGGAAACCTTGGACATCACCGAACCATCTCATTGCTCAGCTACAGACAGTTGAATTCAGAATGTGCCTTTTGCTTAGGAAGAGCCAACGTTATACTTTTTTTATATAGAGAAGAGCATAAGAAGCACTTGCTGGATGGTATTCAGAGTCATGGTGTTTCTGACGGTGGAGGTAGAACATAGGCATCATGGCTGGTAGCCTTCATAAGCCTTGTCCTCCATGAATTTGTCCACTCCTATTCTAAAGCCATCAAGTTGGTGGCCGTCACTGCCTCCTATAGGAGAGAGCTCCATGGGCTGCATAAAGAAGTACTTTCTTTTATTTTTCCTGAACCTTCCAATGTTCAGCTTTATTGGATGCCCATGAGTTCTAGCATCATCTAGTGGTATTCTAGACTGCATCCGCAGAAGTATAGTGTCCAGATAAAGGGAAGTAATAGTACCACTCTATTCTGCCATGGTCAGGCCACACTTGGAATACTGTGTCCAATTCTGGGGAGCACAATTTAGGAAGGATGTTGACAAGCTGCAAGGTGTGCAAAGGAGGGAAGCCAAGATGATCAAGTGTGTGTAAACCAAGCCTGATGAGCAACGGTTGAAGGAGCTGGCTATGTTCAGCCTGGAAAAAAGGAGACTCGGAAGGAGATATGATAGCCATCTTCAAATATCTCAAGCGCTGTTACATGGAAGGGGGAACACGCATGTTTTCTCCTGCTCTGGAGGGTAGGACTCAAACCAATTGCAAGTTACAAGAAAGGAGATTCCAACTGAACATCAGGAAAAACTTTCTGTCCGTAAGAGCTGTTTGACAGTGGAACGGTCTCCCTTGGGAGGTTGTGGACTCTCCTTCCTTGGAGGTTTTTAAGCAGAGGTTGGATGGCCATCAGTCATGGATGCTTTAGCTGAGATTCCTGCATTGCAGGGGGTTGGACCACATGACTCTTGGGGTGCCAACTCTACAATTCTATGTTTCATGAGGGGGGGGGAACGTCTCTCTATCTACTGCTTCCATGCCATTCACAATTTTATATACGTCTATCATGTCACCTCTCACTTGCCTTTCCCACAAACTAAATAATCCCAAACACTACAACCTTTCATCATAGGGGAGTTGCTCATGGGTAAGTTCCACAGCATATAGTTAAAGCTATGGTTTTCCCAGTAGTGATGTATGGAAGTAAGAGCTGGACCATAAAAAAGGCTGATCACCAAAAAAATGATGCTTTTGAATTATGGTGCTGGATGAGACTCTGGAGAGTCCCATGGACTGCAAGAAGATCAAACCTCTCCATTCTGAAGGAAATCAGCCCTGAGTGCTCACTGGAAGGACAGATCCTGAAGCTGAGGCTTCAATACTTTGGCCATCTCATGAGAAGAGAAGACTCCTTGGAAAAGACCCTGATGCTGGGAAAGATGGAGGGCACAAGGAGAAGGGGACGACAGAGGACGAGACGGTTGGACAGTGTTCTCAAAGCTACGAACATGAGTTTGACCAAACTGCGGGAGGCAGTGGAAGACAAGAGTGCCTGGCATGCTCTGGTCCATGGGGTCACGAAGAGTTGGACATGACTAAACAACTAAACAGCAACAAGGTTCCACAGCATTTAAAGCAGCCTTCATCAAACCTGGTGCTTTCTAATGTTTTTGGAGTACAACTCCTTTCACCCTCCACAGGTTTTGTTTCAAAAAGGCATGGAAGATACCAGATTGGTAAAGACTGCCTTAAAACAATAGCAATCATACAACACTGAGACAAACCATTGGTCTAAATAGCCAGTTGCTATGTACACACTGAAAAGCAGTGTCCCTCCAGTGCCTCAGGCAGAGACCTTTCGCATGCTGCAATCTGAAATAACTTTACTGGAGACACTTGCTAATGAACTTGTGACCCTTTGAATGCACTCAATGACTAAGTCACGACCCATTGCACCACCTCGCTCTGCAGAATGATATGTGTGTGTGTGTGTGTGTGTGTGTGTGTGTGTGTGTGTGCAATGAGACTACGCTTGAGTAAATGGATGGATGGCTCATGCCGCTGCAAGCAAAGACAATCGCTTCAGATGTGTGAAAGGAAGGCCTTCCTCCAACTGCATCAGCTTCAGGGAGAGAAGTGAGATCCCTTTTGAAGCTGGTTGGTTTGCCAAGATCAACAGCCAGACAAAGGCTGGAGATGGTTCTGCCTTTGAGGCATTGTTCCACACAAAACAAGAGAAAACAATCTGAACAAGCAGCATGGGTTTTTTCTGCTGTTGTTCTCTTTCCACTAATTGATACCTCTCCACTGTATCTGCGTGGTTCATAACATGCACCAATGCAATAGACCATAAACTTGGCTTGTATGACAAGATGCTGTACTGAGCCAGACCATCAGTGTATCTAAACAAGGACTGACCATGTCAACTCTTCAGAGAATCCTTCTCAGCACAGCTATCTGAGACCCTTATAAAATTAAAGATATTTGGCATTGAAACAGGAAAATTATCTACGCAATGCATGTTCTCCACTGTTCTGCAATGGCCCTTCCCTATTGCCAACATACCCACTTCCTGCAAAGTGAGGACCGAAGACACAGCCAAACTAGAACTTGATGGACCAACAAGGCCAGAGAATATATAGTAATCTGCCCTGTCAAAATTGAAAACAAGATGACTTCTGGTTGTGCTTGGGTGGAGAAAAGAGGGGGCCTGTTCGGTAATGGGTGGAGCTAGGTAATGGGTAATAATATCTTGAGGTTCAGGGATGGGGCCAAGATGGACTCCATTGGGTGGGGATATGTGAATTGGTCAATTTAGATTTCTCTCAAATGTCTAATCTTAAAATCAGTTTTCTGCATTTCCGCATCAGTTTGCCTTTTTTTTAAAAAAAGTATTCGTGAAAATTCACCAGCATTTTCTTGTGAATTTCTCCTAAAAGACACAATTTTGTACACAATTTCCCCTAATGAACACATTTTACTACAGCAATTTCCCCAACTATAATGCATTTTTCTATGTGCTACACACACACACTATTGTACACATCATTTGGCTGGAGAACTGCATTGCAAAATTAAGAGAATTGCGAATTTTGAAAGATGGCAGTGGTTCCGTTCACACATTGTTTCAGAAATAGTGAATCTGGGAGACAAACTGAATCATGTTTCTCCCCCCACCCCTACTGCTGGTGAAGCCTGGCAAAAATGAGTATTTGTTAGCTTTTGAGTACTGCTTATCTGATTGGTTTTATTGATCAGAGACCAATAAAATACTGCCTAGTTAATGAGTCATGGCCAAATCTTTAAATCAAGATTTTTATTTTTTTTAATCTTTATGGCTTCCTCGATTTTTCTTTTCTTTTTTTCTTTTTGTAAAGATAAAATGGTTATCATTCCTGGCCAGCATCTCTCTGTGACTTTGCCCTAAAGACGACCTGGATGTGAAGGGGCACAAAAGGAAGATGTGGAGATGCTCACAGGTGATACACACAGCATCATGAAGTAGAGCTCATGACTATTGCAACCTTCACCTCCACAACAAGCAACAGAGTTTGTTTTTCAGGTTGCTAGTTCCATGCACATATTCCAACAGTGCTCTGTTTCCATGGAAATGGATACCCCATATGTGGTTCTTTGAAGTAGGGATCAAGGCTTTCTCGAAATACTGTTGTCATATAGCTTGACAGCATCCTTCAGCAGTTCAGCTAGGCAGATAGTTCTTCAGAGATGCCTGTGATCCAATTAATGGGCGAGAAAAGAAGTTTTAATTATCAAACGAGGTGACAAGGGGTAGGACCAGCTCTACCATTAGGCGGAGTGAGGCAACAGCCTCAGGTGGCAGATTCTGGGGTGCCAGCAGCAGCAGCCCCCGAGTCCCTCAACCATTCCCCTCTGTCAACACATGGCCTGCCCTGATCCCCCTAAATCTGGCCCGCTGCCTGATGTGGGGTGGAGGGTGCCATCCTGTCACTTGTGTTGAAGGAAGAGTCAAGTGCCCATCTGTACATGGAACTGAAGGAACAGCTTCTTGCCACTCACCTCAGGCAGCAAAATCTATTGGGCTAGTCCTAACAAGGTGTCACATCACTCTTTGTCTTGTTCTTGTCTTCACCGTCGTTCCTCCTACACATCCTGGCCCTCAGGGTGTAGTGGAAGGGATGTAGCTCAGGAGTACAGCAGCTGCCTTAGCTGCAGGAAGTTCCAGGTTCAATCCCTGGCATATCCAGGTATGCATGGGAGAGACTTGGGCCTGAAACCCTGGAGAGCCACTGCTAGTCAGCGTAGACCAGGGTTTTCAAACTTGGGTGTCCAGCTGTTTTTGGACTACAGTTCCCATCATCCCTGACTACTGGTCCTGCTAGCTAGGAATGATGGGAATTGTAGTCCAAAAACAGCTGGACACCCAAGTTTGGGAAACCCTGCTGTAGACATTAATGAGCGGGGGGGGGGGAATGCTGTGACTCAATATAATGCAACTTCCTATCTACATACATACGTTGGCTTCCAGAACTCTCTTTTGGCAACCTCTGCCAATGTGGTGCCCTCCAGCTGCAATTCCCACCAGCTTAAGCCAGCATAGCTAATGCTCAGGGATAATGGGAGTTGTAGTTTAAAACAGCTCACTGGAAGGACAGATCGTGAAGCTGAGGCTCCAATACTTTGGCCACCTCATGAGAAGAGAAGACTGCCTGGAAAAGACCCTGATGCTGGGAAAGATGGAGGGCACAAGGAGAAGGGGACAACAGAGGACAAGATGGTTGGACAGTGTTCTCGAAGCTACCAGCATGAGTTTGACCAAACTGCGGGAGGCAGTGGAAGACAGGAGTGCCTGGCGTGCTCTGGTCCATGGAGTCACGAAGAGTCGGACACGACAAAACAACTAAACAACAACAACAAGTTTAAAACAGCTCTGTAGGGTACCAGGTTCCTAGAATCATAGAGTTGTAGAGTTGGAAGGGATCATGAGGATCATCTATAAGAATAAGAATAAAAAAAAAATTTATTATTTATACCCCGCCCATCTGGCTGGGTTTCCCCAGCCACTTTGGGCAGCTTCCAACCGAATATTAAAAATGATACAGCATCAGACATTAAAAACGTCCCTAAACAGGGCCGCCTCAGTTGTCTTTTAAAAGTAAATTAGTTGCTTATTGCTTTGACATCTGCTGCGAGGGTGTTCCACAGGGCAGGCGCCACTACCGAGAAATCCCTCTGCCTGATTCCCTGTTGCTTCACTTCTTGTGGGAACTGCCAGAAGGCCCTCAGAGCTGGACCTCAGTGTCCGGGCTGGATGATGGGGGTGGAGATGCTCCTTCAGGTATACTGGGCCAAGGCCGCTTAGGGCTTTAAAGGTCAGCACCAAGACTTTGAATTGTGCTCAGAAGTGTACTGGAAGCATATCTAGTCCAACCCTCTGCAGTGCAGGGATATGCATCTGTCCCCATACAGGGATCAAACCTGCAACCTTAGCGTTATCAGCACTGCACTCTAACCAACTGAGCTGTCCAGGCTGCTGAAGGCTGTTTAATGGGCAACCTCTCCATCCCCTAGAGAGGTTGTCCATATTTTCACTTACAATCTTTTCATACCAACCTTCACACACACACACACACACACACACACACACAAAATACCAGGGCAATTTACATAAAAAGAAAATACAAAAACCAAGTAAAATCAGATGCACATGCCCTGTGCTCCAGAGTTTCGACTGCATAGGACTGCAAATCTCTGTCTCTCCTTATATATAATGCATTGGAAAGCCTTGCATATTGCTCTCTTCTGAATTACTGCTGGGAGTTTTTCTACATTGTTTAAAACTCATTCTTAACATATGATGACCCCCACCAATAGGCCTCCAGTGCTCATGTGTAACTGGAATAGCACATTGCATATATTCCAAATTATTCACATTTTCAGCATTTTGTATTTATTTTTAAACTGCAATTATTTACCCCTCTTTTATTAGCCAGTCCACCTGCCCAGAGGACTGCAAATAGTTAAAGAGGCTAGCACCTGCCCTCCACACTTTGCATGTTTCCGGTAGAAACAATAGGGTGTAACACGCTGAGTTTCCATGTATGCGCCTGTTTGCTGTTCCTCTTTCAGTGCCATTAAAAAAATAAAAATAAGCCTGTCTCTTCATCCTGTTGTCTATATGATCTCAGCTCATCAGGGATCCAGGTCTGTCCAAAGCCACACAGGAAACACTTCCCGGCTCTGTTAGCTGAATCTTATCTGCACCCCAAAGCCAGACTTCAGCTCCTCGTTCAAATAACTGAACATAAAGGAACATTACTGGCACACAAGGAAGGAAAAGGCACTATCAGAATCACAGAGTGCAAGCCTTCTGAAGAATGAATCACCTTAGGGGGGGAAGTTTCTGCTTTTGCAAGGAACAAGGCACAGAATGTTCTCACTGACACCTGGAAGGAACATTTATTTATAATTGTTGTAAAGATTGTTTGTCTATATACTTTTTCATTATTGTACAGTAAGCTGCTTCGGGCAGAGATCCTCTTGCATCACCACTTGTGAAATGTGCATGTTTCTGAGCACTCTCTAAATAAATGACAAATAAATAACAGAGCACACAATTTGGAGGTTCCTTAAAGTAGATATGAGATAAATTTTCAAAGCAGTGTTAACCTTCGCCACTCTGGAACTAATAATATTCATAACTGGTTGTTAGATACCAAAGTCACAGCATCACTAAGAGCTGAACCAAGATGGTAGATCTTGGAGACCCCCAAGACTAACCTAGGCAGCATCTTAAAAAGCAGAGACATCACCTTGCCGACAAAGGTCCATATAGTTAGAGCTATGGTTTTCCCAGTAGTGATGTATGAAAGTGAGAGCTGGACCATAAAGAAGGCTGATCGCCAAAGAATTTATGCTTTTGAATTATGGTGCTAGAGAGTCCCATGGACTGCAAGAAGATCCCTGAAAGGACAGATCCTGAAGCTGAGGCTCCAATATTTTGGCCACCTCATGAGAAGAGAAGACTCCCTGGAAAAGACCCTGATGTTGGGAACGATGGAGGGCACAAGGAGGGCGAGATGGTTGGATAGTGTTCTCAAAGCTACCAGCATGAGTTTGACCAAACTGCGGGAGGCAGTGGAAGACAGGAGTGCCTGGCGTGCTCTGGTCCATGGGGTCACGAAGAGTCGGACATGACTAAACGACTAAACAACAACAGCAGCCATTTCCAACAGGAGCAGCACTAACTATTCACCATCAAATTTTATGGCAAGAACTGATGGGACCCGATATGTTTCACTGTCTCTCTTGTTCTCTGTGCTTGTATCTGATTGCTGCCCCGTTGAGCAGCTTATTGGGCGAGTTAAAAAAAACAAAATGGTAGGATCTTCTTGTTGGCTGTTGATTCCAACCTTAGGGATCATATAGCTAATCTGGTAGGCACCACAGAACCATGTCATGCCATAATGAAGCCAATTCAAAGTGAGAGCAGAGCTCTCTGTCCTACCCTTGAGTTGGCTTGGTCAAGGCATCATGTCATCAGTCGGATACGCCTCTTGACAACATCATAAAGGCAATTCAGATTAAGGGAAGGAAGTATTGCCCTCACTCTGAATGGGTATCAGGGCGGACATTTAACCCAATGTTGTTGCACACAAACCATCATTGAAAGACTGGAACGGCCCAACCAGCCCCTTGCAGAATGTTGGTCGTTACCTCTTTAAGGTCACTTTACGTACTATGTTAAGCATGATATTATCAATGTGATTAAGACCTGCTAATAGTTTGCCAATATCAAAAAGCAGATATGGAGGTCGTAGGCTGATTCAGATCAACACCATGAAGAAGGGCATTAAGCCTGTACCTGCATGCCATTTTCTAAAAATCTTGCCCCTGCAAAATCCCCTGTATGTTGTCTTTGGAACTGCTATTAGATACAAATAGTAACTTTGGATTTGGGCAGGAGAGAGAGTTTCAGAAAAAGAGCAGTGTTGGGAGATCCCCAGTCCCAGCACAGCAGTGCTGATCTGAATCACACGCAGTCCCTGCAGCTGAAATGGGACATCTCAATCACATTTGCAAATATTTAGCCCTTAATTTCCCATTGTATGTTTGAAAACTGCTCCTACGCTCTCCTTCCTCTAGCTCCCGCCAAACCCTCTTTTCTTATTGCTAGGCCAGGTGTTTGTAATGGGTGGGAAAGAAAGGGTCACTGAGTTACTTTAAAGGGGAGAGGGAGAGATTAATTAGTTTAGAAATGCTTTCACTTTCCTTCTGAATAAGGAGAAGGGGGGGAGAGGCCAAAGAGGAACTGGAGTACAAAGGATTCACACATGACCAAATTGCCCAGGCAGTTTTAATAACTGACAATTATACATGTTATCAAACGAATCAAAGATAGCAGGGGTGGTGTAAGTTCTCCTTTACAAGAGAGGTTCAAAGGACGGCATTTGACACCATAGAAGGGACCCCTTTGAATAAATTTGGTTCCTCAGTGATCATTTCTTGTTACAAATTGCACAAATTACATGGAATTTTAAATGACTGGTTTTATAATGTATTGAATAAAAATCCACAGGAGGACAATACTACCAGCTGGTTTTGTGTGCGTGGAAATAGCAGCCAAGGATCAGAGGTAGCTCAGTTGGTAGAGCATGCGATTCCTGCATTACAGGGGGTTGAATTCGTGGTATCTTCCATTTCTACGATTCTAAGATTCTGTGATATCCAAAGCCTGGCTGGGACCACACTAGGTGTCCTTGGGCCAGTCACTGCCTCTCAGCCTAATCTGCCACCCAGGGTTGATGCAGGGATGGAATGAAAAGGGAAGAACCACGCACGTCACCTTGAGCGACTTGGAGAAAAACATGGGATGTAAAAGCAATTGAAAAAGGGAAATTAAACCCTGCCCCGGCCAGGCAGCAGCAGCAGAACTGTGACAGAGCCACAGAGCGAACCACAACATCTGCAGCTCTGCTGCTCACACCACTCAGGGTGGAAAGTGTGGTGCAAGCAAACCCTGCTCCACGCTTTGCAGTCTGGATCTGGTGCAAAGGTTGGGCCTCAAGTAACAGCGGTAAGGCTGGCTCAGGATCTCGTGGAGAATGGTCCAGCTCAGCCCCTCCCTGTTGCTCCCCACAGCTCAGAGTTGTGAGCTACCACCAGTGGGAATAGCACCACAAGTTCTCCTGTCCACCTGCACTTTGGGTGGATGGAATGGGAAGCTCTGTGGATTGGAACCAGCATTACACTGATGTAAGAGGCAGGGCAGAAGGAGATCTCCACCCCATCCTCACACACACGGTGCAGCAGATTGTCAGGGGCTGCAGGTTAACTTGGGGGGGAGCCAAAATTTGTGGAGGGGCTCTAGAATATCCCTAAAGAAGAGGAGAACCCATTGCTCCTCCTTTCTGGTTGCAACTCTGTGTGTGATCCTGAATAAGAGACACCATCCTTCAGTTCGCCTTCCAACTGATGTCAGCTATCTTCCATTTGGGACAGTCCCATGACCCCAGCCATGCAGCCACAAGCCAAGAGTACAGAAAGCTAGGATGGGGGTTGTGCATGCCCATTTATTATCATTTTTGTACCCTGATTTTAAGCACACTGACTTGGCAACCCACCCCTTGGATTTCAGGGGAATTTATTTGTAAAGAAGTGTCTTTATTAATTATTATTATTATTATTATTATTATTATTATTATTATTATTATTATTTATACCCCACCCTCCCCAGCCAAGACCAAGCTCAGGATGGCTAACAACCAATAATAAAAACAAGTTGATTGAAATACAACTTAGAATCATAGAATAGAATCATAGAATCATAGAATCATAGAATTGGAAGAGACCACAAGGGCCATCGAGTCCAACCCCCTGCCAAGCAGGAAACACCATCAGAGCACTCCTGACATATGGTTGTCAAGCCTCTGCTTAAAGACCTCCAAAGAAGGAGACTCCACCACACTCCTTGGCAGCAAATTCCACTGTCGAACAGCTCTTACTGTCAGGAAGTTCTTCCTAATGTTTAGGTGGAATCTTCTTAAAAAACAAGATTAAAATACAACATTAAAACAATTAAAACATTAAAATGCAGCCTCATCACAGGAGGAGAAAGGAAAAAAGAAAGAGGGGGAGGGAATCATATGAATTCTAAGCCAAAGGCCAGGCGGAACAACTCTGTCTTACAGGCCCTGTTTAAAGAAATCAGATCTCATGAGACAGAGCGTTCCACCAGGCCGGAGCCTATTTAAGATCCTAGTTTCTGCGTATAAGAACACTCTTAGCTTTCCAAGATTCTTGGAGGACAAAGAACTTCCTCGGCTGATAGCAAGGGCAGTCATGTTGGGCAACAGAGAAAAGAAACCCAAACTCCATCCTAGGGCAGTATTTTGATCGAGACAAGCATTCTGCGACATTGCGTTTGGACTAACAGAGGTACAGTCCGATTGTGGATTGTTTGGAATTCCCTAACTGAAACATTCTGGCTCTCCTATGTAAGCTCCACTAAGGAAAGGGATTTGCTAATCAC